AAAAGAAGCAGATTACATACAAAGGAAAATCCATCAAAATAATGACAGACTTCTCGATACAAATCATCAAATCAAGAGCCTGGAGTGAAGTAGTCCAAACCCTGAAAGAAAATAACCTCCAACCCAGATTGATGTACCCTGAAAAACTCTCAAAATTGTTTCCAAGACAAAGAAGAACTGTGGAATTTCATAGCCACCAATCCAACCATACAAAAAATACTGAAGGACATTCTAGAGAGAAAGAGAAAAAAATACCAGGATTTCAGCAACAGTGGCAGAGAGGCCTCAATGAATGGGGCAGACAGTGGAATGAAGGAGAAAAGTGGACAAATAATAGCAGAAAAATAGAATAGCAGAGATGAGGCAGAGAAGGTGGGCTATAATCTCTAATATAGATAGCTCTGATACACTTAATAAAAAGAAACACAGGAAAGTAGATCAGGAGACAGGATACATTGAGATGCTCTTAATAGGAAATATACTCAACCTGAAAGAGAGTTAATAAACTGAAAGTCAAAGTTGAGAAAACGATGCTCTATGTGACAGGGAACCAGAGAGAAATAGGGACAACTCATCCAACAGCTGCAGATAGGTTAGAAAATCATGACACTTGTGCAGTGGAGAACTATTCAGCTATAAGGAAGGAAAATCTTGTGGCTTTAGTAAGTAAAGGAATACAGCTCAAAATCAAGCTCAGGGGTAAAAATGGTTCACCATCACTTACATAGATAATGGGTTGCCCCCCCCCAATCTAAAAACTAAAGGAGTTAGTGGGAACCAAAATATACAAAGCACCCTGTGAAAGGGAAAGGGAAGGAATTGCTTAATAAAGGAATGCAGAGGGCATTGTTAATGGTGTATCAGTATTTAAAAGCCACATTAGTCTTATCAGTCTGTTTAGTTTGATTTTATTCTGTTTCAATCTGTCTACTCATACTAGATTTGAGGGCACAGACAGCTATCCCAAAAAATATCAGAATATAGTACAGTAAATATCTTTAATTCCCTATTAACTTAAACTGAAGCCCTGTATTACATACATTGTCTTACTATGACTGATCTTACTTGAATCTGGTTTGTTAGACCACTGTTTTGACTTGACTGATTTTATTCAAATTTGGTATGCTTGATAGTATCAAGTCTAAGAGTAGAGGCAACTACTCTGAAGATGACAAGATGTAATAAGGTACTCATTCTGGTTTGAATTATTAACTGCATTTGAAGTCCTACAATGTCTCCAATGTTGTGTTTTTATTAAAATTGCTATGTAATGCTATGTTCAATTATATTATGTCTGATGATGTAGACAATACTATTGAAAATAATAAGAAAAAGTGTAATAACTACTGTAGATCACCTAATATTGTGGTTTTATATGTCTTTTTTCATTTCATGTTTTTCTAGGAATTTGTTTTGTTGTCTTGTTTTAATCTGATTTTCCCTATAATACAGAAAGGATAGGTATACATGTAGAGATTCACACATATGTAGAACTTCTAAATAGTTTACAGGAATAGATTATATAATGCACGATGTAATGAATAGATACTCTGAAGAAGAAGAGACACTAAGATACCCAGTGCTAATTCTGTAGCATTATGATATAAAATCTAGCAATACTGTTATTCACCATTCAGAGTGATATTAGTCTAGTCTCTTATGTTTAATTTCAGCATATATAAGGATATGAACAGCTACTTCAAAGAGAATGAGAGACATTATGGCAGCCATTGTTGACTTCCCTAATGTCAGGTCTTGAAGACCTAAAAAGCCTTCATCATTCTTTTCTGATTAGATTAGTACTATAATGTTCAATATGTATTCATTGTGTGTGAAGATGGGGACAACTATTTGGAAGAAAACTAGAGACAATATTCTAGACAGTAAAGATCTCCAGTGGACTTGCTTTGAAATCCATGTTTCTTAAAATTGTTTCCTTATAGTAATAAGAATTGTGGGAGTAATAAAACCCAAAATGTGTAAATGTTATTGTAAAAAAGAGAGGAAAAGAAAGTGCTCTAAAGAACACAACTGCAAGTGTGTTTAGGTGTGTAAGACAGATGACCATATTACTAAGTTTTTGTTAGATCATTTAACACAACTGTTTGCAGTCTCACTATTTCAATGTCCACTTTGTATGCTTAATTTTGTAACTTGGTCAACTATTTCTAATATGACAATATGTAATCTATTAACCAGTGATTTCTTACTAGTTTTTTTTTAATTCTGTATTACTTGTACCCTTTTACTGTTTTGGTTTTTTCTTTAAATAAATTATAAACATATGAAATGAAAAAAATTGTTTCCTTACTATCTGTTTTGTTCTGTTTCATCTTATCCTCTTTAAAATAAAAAAATTAAAAAAAATAAACATGATACTCACTTTTCTGGAATTCCATTTCCAGTTACCATTAACCTCTCAATACTTGAAATCTTTCTGTATTTAAACAGAGCATTAACCTCATCTACTTCCAGTCTGTATTATTAGATGCTTGTCCTCTTCCTCCTATATAATCTCAAGCTCCTCTCTAGCAAACCATGTAGAACTCTGTAATATAATTGTTATAATAAAAATCTCAAAATTATATTGGACAGGGGACATTTCATGTACAGGCAAATAGTCTTTGACATATTCAGTAAGCCCCAAATTAAGATTAATTTATATTTAAAATAGTTGTGGTAAATTTCAGTACTCAAAAATACCAAGAAAATCATTCTATTTAGTATGACTTTACAGAGTTGCACATGATTTAGATTTCAGATGGCAGTGTTGTTTTATATTACAATTAGTATACTAGCTTATTGATATGTGAGTTACGCAACTTTGTATGTATAGTCAGACTTTATTATGTTGTTTCTATGAGAAAATACATTATACATACAATCAAGTGACTCAAAGATACTGCTAAGTTGAATCATGTGAAATTGTTGATATTCAACCAATTTTGACCTTAAAAAGTGGCATTTTCACATGGCTCGACTTAAATAAGTTTTAAATGAAGTTCTATTCTTATGAGATGAAAGATACATTGGTTTATTAATTTAATGTTTAATAGATGACTGTAGTCAGCAAATTGCTAATCCTGCACCTTGAGGCTATTAGATATAATTGTCTCATATAAACTGTAAAGAAATCACAGGTTTGTGAAGAAGTTTGTTTGAAATATTAGGGCTTTGTTGGGTCCAGCTAATTTTTCCCAAATAAGAAATGCAGCAGCCTTTAAGCCTCTGGGATTATTTTTTGCACTAAACTTACCTTGAAAATTCAGAATCATTTCTCTTGAAAGTTCCAAATTAAGCAATCTAGTTTGAAAATAATTCTTAATAGTAATAGTTGGCAGTTACTGAGCATGTGTTGTATGCTGACTACTGTGATAATCTTACAACTGTTTTATGAGAAAAGTACCACTATGATCCCTGTTTTCAGATAAGCTTGTAGATAAAAGAGTAGCTTATCCAAGGTTACACACCTTCTAGTCTGTCTAATGTTTACTTTAAGCACATCTATTTACAACAATAAAACACTCACGCTGAAGGCCTATGATTCAATCCAGCTATGATTCACTGTAATTATCATTAGTGAAATTAGACCCATTCATATATGAAACACACTGTATTTTTACAAGAAATGATTACGAGACAGTGAAAACCAAATATCAAAATGAGTCTTTTCTCTTTTTAACAAAAACCCATATTTTTTTCAAATACATTATCATATGACAATTTAATAGTTGACAATAAGCAAGCATAACTCATTTATGCCAAAGGTTGTAATTTTTAAATTTTTGCATGAAATTCATATGTGTTACCTAGAAAAAGTTGAACAACAAATTCTGAAAAGGAAAAATTTTATTAGTTTCCATTTTTATGTGGTATTCCAAAAGTAGAACACTTAACATAAAAGGATAACATTTCCTTTAAATCTATTGAATATATAGGAAAGTAATTGTTTTAGTTACTTTTTACTCGTTGCTGAGACAAAACACCTGAAGCCCAAAGTTGGGAAAGGAAAGGTTTATTTCTTACAGTTTTTGGAGGGTTCAGTCCACACTCAGTTGGCTCCAAGTCAGGCGGGAATGGCAGCTACAAACAGCAAGCTGGAACCTGCAAAGAGCAAGACACACCTTCTTCCTGCCATTACATCACATCCTGACTCCACCCCTTTGTGGGTGGAGCACTGACACCATCAATCCAAGCACTAGACAATGAGTGAATAACAAATGCACAATGCGGGGCTGGGGATTTAGCTCAGTGGCATAAGCGTCTGCCTCAAAAGCAGGCAGTCGTGGGTTCGATCCCTGGTACCGGTAAAAAAACGAAAAAGCCAAAAAAAAAAAAAATTAAAAAAAAAACAAATGCACAATGCAAACTCATGAGGCCTGGGGGACACAGACGTAAACCATGACAGTAATCAATTTTTTAATCTAATCAAAATGGTTCTGGAGACCACAAATTTTATAAAAGCCTGGAAAAGGAAGATAATAACTGTGTGCTTTAACTATACACTTTGTTATGACTAACTCTCAGAAGAGCACTGATGTATGTGGTACCTTAGTGTTGGATGCTCAACACTCTCAAAGAAGCCATAAAGTACAGCATAAATAATGTAGCAAAATCACAGATATCTAATAGTGAAGTGTATGAGAGAGTAGCAAATTCAAGGTTTGTTCTAGGTGGACATTATTAGTATGTGAAGGGAGTTAGAAATTCATAGCTAGGCTCTATAAACTCTAGATATTTATGGACGAATGTGACCCAATGTACTATCCATGGGATATTCAGAACAGAAGAGATTGGATTCAGAGAGTACCCAAAATTTCATGTCAACACGTTTTGGATAGTAATGGTACAAGGATCTTTATAGGGAAGGGAAGGAAAGATTCAGGCTTTAGCCACACTAAATTATAGTGAAGGTAGACTATCTTTTAAAAGGTAGTATTTTCTGATGTCTGTGGCTGACTAGGGTCAACCTTTGACTCATATATTTGTTACTTTTACAGATGGCCTTGCTGAATTTCTTTGTCCCTAATGAAAAGTCATACTCTGAAGAGGAAAGCAGTCATGTTCACCGCAACAAAAGAAGCAAAAGCAGTGAAGGAACAGATGGTGAGTTTGGGCAATTTCTTAATACTTGAATTATCTTTTAATAACAGTATCCTTCATTGCCAGATATGACAGCTGATGCTTCTGAGTCCATCTATTCAAGACGCTGAGGCAGGAGGATCACAAATTTGATCCTCATGCTTGATCCAAGACCCTGTCTCAAAAAGAAAAAAATAATTAAAGTTGGGAGTTCTAGGGATATAGCTTGCAGTAGACCACTTGCATAGAATGCATAAGTCCCTGGGTTCAATCCTCATTACTGCACAAGAAAGAATACCCTTTATCATCTTATATATTGACTACATTCCCAAGGTCACAGAAGAGTCTTTATCCTAACTTACCAATGAATCCTGTGACACAGAATAAACTATATAAGAATCTTCCCTTCCCCAACTCCAGACACCTTCATTCTTGTCTTAATGTGTCTGAGAGCCACGGTAGCATTTGTACCTCCTTCCATAAGAAGCTACTTTCACCTGAAAATATCCACATCTCTTAGGGTAATACATAGGATTTGATCCTATTTTCAGAACTGACAGAGAGTATTGGCATGCTGGCACTTACATGATGTGTTACCATTAATGATAATTATATTAATGTTGATATGTGGTACCATGTCTCAATGTAGATCTAGTCTGTAAGTTCCTTGAGAATAAAGACTCATCTCCAGAATCTAGCCAAGTATTTGGCTAATTGTTAGTTTTTGGAATGTAAGTTGCTCAGGTTGACTGATCTTTCAGCTAGGTACCAATGGTAACCATCCCTATTATGGGTATAATAGCTTTCAGTTAATTAGGAATGCATTTTGTGTAGCATAAAAAATGTTGAGCTAGCTCCAGGGCACAGTCTTTGAATCACCATACTTTAGTATTACTCTGTTAATTCACATAATGCTACTCTTTTGGCACTGGTGTTTATAGTAGGCGTAGCCCTGGGCTGCTTCAAAGTCATCTGGATTCAAAGACAGCATGTGTCTGAGTCCATCTGCCAATGGCATGTGCCTGGAGGGGATTACACAGCAATGTGATTTCATAAAGATGAAAATGAGATTTTTTCTGCTGTCATCTATCAATGTGAGTAGAAACCAATTATGGAGGCAGTTCTAGAAGGTGGCAGCTATTGAAAAATGGAAACTAGGCATGGTGGCACACATCTGTACTCTCAGTACTCTGGGAGGCTAAAGCAGGAGGATTGAAAATTTGGTGACAGCTTGAAAAAGTTAGCAACTTAGACAGACCCTGTCTCAAAATAAAAAAGAAAATAGAAAAGGGAGAAGACTGTGGTTTCAATCCCTAGTACCATGTGAAAGGAACAGAGAAAGTGTGTGTGTGTGTGTGTGTGTGTGTGTGTGTGTGTTTGACAGAGATAGCAGAGGCAGAGACAGAGAGAGAGAGATAAAGAGAGAGAGAGACAGAGACAGAGACAGAGAGAGATGGGCCAGGACTCGGTTAGTAAGGACACATAAAACTTGATAAAATCTGAAAATCATATAACTCAGGGTAATGACTCTGTAATTAAAAAGAGACAGAAAAGTCTAGTGGGTAGGTTTTTATAATGAATTGAGATGGCAGTAGCACTGTTTTTGAATGGAGAACTTAGCTAGTAGGGCTCTTCTCTTTAGCAGACATTTTATACACAAATTTCTTGAAAGTCTTCTAGCTAGACTGAAGTAGGAACTGACAGTTACTGACCTTTTTTTTTCTAATCATCTCACCCTCTGGTGCATGTAAGTCTTCCCAAATTTGATTGCTCCTCTCAGGCTGTTCTCAATACCACCAAATCTTCATAACTGAAGGAATTATGGTTGCTCTGGAGGAAGTGGCCTCCTTCAACAGTGGGCATGGTCTTTCTTTCCTTTCCATGTGGAAACTCTAAATGTCTTTAAGATTTACCTCTTCATTTAACCACCATGTTGTCTCTTTATGAAGACAATTTCCCCTTCTTTCCCAAATCACTTTATCTAAATCTGGCTACCACTATCTCTAATAATTAGTTTCTGTTTTGACAGAAAACAGTTTTTGTCTCTGGTAAAGCCTAAAGCATGTTTTCTTAATTTTTAGCACTTCTTATATACTTCTCTCCTGATCTAACTGTCTGCATTTCTTTTCTCTCATTGCTGAGACCAAACACCTGACACTCAAAATGAAGGAAGGAATGGTTTATTTAGCTCACTGTTTTTGGAGGTTTCAGTCCATAATCAGCTGGCTCCAAGGCAAGGTAGACGGCACTGGGGCAACATTTCAAGGCATCATCCAGTGAAAAAGGGGACAACAAGCCTCTTCTCCTTCCTAATATTGTAAGCAGGCTTACCTCCCCCCATGTAGTACTCACAACACCTTTGTGCCCTCCTCTTATACAGGATGAGGATGTTTACAAAGTGAGGATCCTGGATCCCTGCTGAGTGTCTCAGTCAACCATAATACTAATACTCCAAGTAGTCACTAGACTCTAGTCAGTTTGTGCCAATGCTAAGAGTTTCATGCAATGTAGGTATTTGTTATTTCTCAGTGCAGCCTGAAGGTATCCAAGAGTGCTTTCAAGTTAGGGGTATAGAATGTCTGAAGGCCCTGGGGTTTGTGAAGATATTCAGCCTTTCACCTTGGAGATCACAGATCCTTTTTTTTTTCAGTGTGGCAAATGCCCCACTGAGTTACAAGAAGATGAGCTGATCTAAGTTTTTCTTTCTTTTTTACCATTGTTGATCTGCTGAAAGTATGCTGTACCTACTCAATACATTCTTCAAATATTTACTGAGTAAATATAGCAGTTTATATAATAGTTGGATAGACATTACATAAGGATATTTTTATTTGTTTTATTTACTTTACATCCCCATTGCCTAGAACATGACCTGGCACCAAGTCTCAGCACCAAGGCTCAGCAGCACAGTGCCTGCTTGGCTAGTGCAAGGTTATGAGTTCAATTCTTGGCACTCATAAATAAAAAAATAATAGAAACAAAGAAAGAAAAGGGCCTGGCATATTATAGACCTTCAATAAATATTTTTGTTCCTGCAAGGAACTTTCTAGAACAGAGACAGACAGTAAACAAGGTTAGTGGTGATAAGTGCTGTAATGAAAAGTATGGCATAGAAAGAGGGGAGGGAGTGATGGGGTATGCTGTAAGGTGATAGAGGAAAGTTTCTGTGATAAGTGAGCAATTCACAAGTATCCTATGTGATTATGTATTATGTCCATCCTTTTGATTTGACTGACTCTGTCCTGGTATGTCACATTTGGTTTTACTTTCTTCAAAATAAAAAAAGTAATAAGAACTGTGGGAGTAATAAAACCCAAAATGTGTACTTGTCATTGTACAAAAGAAAGGAAAAGAAAGTTCTCTAAAAGATATAACTGCATGTATATTTAAGTGTATAAGATACATAACCATATTACTGAGTTTTGTTGGATCATTGAACAAAACTGTTTGCAGTCTCACTGTTTGAAAGTCCCCTCTATATGCTTTAATTTTGTAACTTCAACAACTATTTCTAAGATGACAATATGTAATTAACTAGTGGTTTCCTACTGTTTATTTTTTCTGAAATTCTGTATAACTTGTACTCTTTTTCTGTTTTTTTTTCTTTTTTCTCCTTAAATAAAATTTAAAGAAAATTTAAAAAAAGATCCTATGTGAAATGAAGATTGGATACATGTGTTGCTTTAAGCAATTTATTTAACTGAAATGGATTTTCATTTATTTAACTGAAGTGACTTCCATTTTATTTTGACATATATTTTCTACATGGTGATTTACAGGATCTTTGAGCCAATATAAATATTTCATAAATATTTGACCATTTAGATATATACCTACACAATACCTCACCAATATCTTTCAGCAAGAAAAACACTGAAGAGTAAAAATCTGACACAATTAACTAGGTAGAATGAAAATCTGCTCCAAATATTTGTTTCTGAGATAAATGCACCACACCTGCTCAATTAAAAACCATCCTTATATCACAGGATGATTTTTTTTATTTTTAAGTATGCCCTAGGACACTTAGTCACCAATTAGGTACTGAATGGCAGAGCTCCGTCTCCAGCTTACACCATGAATTCATAGGGAACAGGTTCCATCGACTCAGGCTCCTTCCCATTGGTTCTCACAAAGTATGCTTCTCTGGTGGGGCAGGCTGGTGCTTCAGTTGAACCCAGGTATCTCTTTTTCTGTGGCTTTATTTTTCTAATCATTTTCCTTGACATGTTTCAGGAAGCTGTCAAGCCCTTTTGAGTGTTGAATATGCTCAATATGCACATTAATTCTTTTGGCAAGTATCTTGCCTTTGACTTGCTTGTTTACAATAATGCCAACAGCATGCTGGGTAACATTGCAAAATCTTCCCATTTTTTGCCTTGGTAACATTTGTGTGGCATTCCTTTTTGAACAGTGCCCAGTCCCTTGATGTCTACTGTATTAACTCTTTTTGTAGATTCACATGTATGTGGCCAAAAGAACAGCTCCATGTTTTCTAAAAGGCCCAGAGAACATATACCAAGTTCCCCTCCTCTTTCTCTTTATGTATGTCATTTTTGCAAATTACTGGAAGATGGCAGTGCTGGCTGAAAGGAACATGTGTATTTCTGAGGGAAGCAAAAACAGAAGAAGTAAAAGCCCTAAAGCAGAAGAATCTTTAGTATGTCCACAAAGAACACTGGGAATGAGATCATATTAAGCAAGTGGGAGAAGGAAACAGAACAAGCCAGAAAGTAAAATCCAATCTAGAGACTTGTGGACCATTGTAAAGAGTTTCACTTTTCTGCAAGAGACTGCAAACTACTGGAGGAGTATGAGCAGAAAAGTAGTAGGATCTGACTTATATTTTAATAGAATCTTTCTGACTGCTATATTAAAATCAGTACATGAATGATGAACAGAACTAGAGACATTCCTTAGGCAGTAATCCAGGTAATCAATGAGATGGTTTAGACCAGGGTAGAGACAATGTAGGTGATTTGAAGTAGGCAAGTTCTGGAGAGATTTGAAAGAAATGATCATTT